AAAAAAGCTAAGAGCTCTCGGTGTTCGTCAATACTGGAAGAATAGACCATGCATTTGACTTCATCAGACATCGTTAGAGGTGATTAGATGCGTCTGCTCCATGCAGTGACGGATGGTAGCCTACTACTGTATCAAGCCCATTCTGCTCATCTCGCACACCACTCTGGTAGCAGCTTGCCTACCCCTGAAGGATGGAAGGCTTGCTAAACACAGCGTGCGGGATCGAATTAGCGACCAAGTGGGCCTTGCAGGACACCTTTATCCACTGCGCTACGCGCTCCCTCATAGTAGAACATAAAATTTGAGGAAATGTTGAGTTGGGAAGTGAGTATTGCAGTAGTATGCGCGTATTTTTTTCGAGATTTTATTCCTCCGTTGGTATTCACTTGAATCCTGTAACATAATCACCACAATTATGTTCCCAATGCATGTGCGACTATTTAGTCCCACAACTCACTATCCTTAATTCGGGTTCGCTAATCAGGGAAATGACCGACATTATTTTGCAGTTTTGTAAGGTTGTGGATCACATCGCGTCGCTTGTAATTCTTGAGGAATCGGAACAAAGGATAATCAGGGGAAATCAGGTACATGTGGTATACAGTTTGCCAGATGACGTTTATCTTTTTCCAGCAAACTTTGGAATTTATCTGACTATTATTAATTCGCTTAGCGTGTGCATGAGTCTTTGATGCTGAAGCAGAGCTTTACCATCCTCAAGATGTCTTTTGAACGGTGAATTTTTAAATTTTTCGAACCGAATTGGGTAAACGGCAATCGTTCCGGTGATAACGGTTGGCATGAGCTGAGTACAACATTCTACTTTTGTAGCAATTTAAGATTTGTGTTAATTAGTTCAGTATAGAGTGCACGTGTGACACAGTGGTCGGAGGGCCCTGCAATACACGTGGGATCAATATCCGCATAGCATGCTCACCAAGCCTTCCATCCCTGAAGGGTGTGTAAATTGCTAGCAGACTTGTTTGGGAGAATAGCAGCATTGGCTCGACACATCGGTAAGCCACCGTGAATTGTTGTAAAGGCCAGATATGCATTCAGTCACCTCTGAACGATGCTTAATGAAGTCGAGTGCATGTCGCATCTCTTAGGGATTAATCAACGCCGAGAGCTTCATCCTTTTTCATCATTTAGAGTGAACGTGTCTAGTTTACTATTTGCCACGCATGAGGTGTTGTGTTTTCCACAAAAGTAAACCTTGAACGGGGATAACTAGACATTCGCATATAAATATTTTAACAATGACGAAATAACAAGATTGTTACCACATGTGTTCGGCTAACATCGAGTCTTCTTCATCAGAGCCGACAACCCGAGTCGATGTTCTACAGTTGTTCGTTTTCTCGATGTGGTATCTCCATCGTCGTATTGAGACGGATAATCTTTATCATGTTAGCTTATCAATGAAATCAGCTACATTGATCGTTTACACTTAGGTTAAATGAACACCAGTTTACAACGATACTAAGTCCTTAATACAAAACTGTGAATGCACGTAAATTATTCTGATCTAGCCTAGACAGGAATGAGTGAGGAGGACGACGGAGACCTTTAGACGTGATCTAAAAGCAGATGTTACTGATGTAGCCGTTGCTCTTTCCTAAGGAATGTCTTTGCCTATGTGCAGGTGTTGACATGCAAAGATAAAAGCACACTCTATCCAGCTATGATTACACGTTCAATAGACAGTGTTAGGAAAATGAAAGTTGCGTGGAACAATATACAAAGTAGGGAATAGTCTCTAGAACGTGCTTGAGGAACGTTGAGTATATAGGTGTTATCTTAACACATAAGCGACGACGTGCCCTCTTCTCTTATGGTAGGGCTTGTTTGATATAAAGTGGCAAAATGTATTCTTTCATTTTCTTCATTGATAAGCTAACACGAGGCTAATAAAAAAATTTATTCGACCAACATTTCGACGTATTCGTTAATTCTACCGGTGCGGGTCTTCGTGATCACATCGAGTGTAGTCCAGTGGAGCACCGTCCGAATGAAGTAATCTCGCTTGCAAGTGCAATTTATATACGATGCTTTTATCAACCTCCTCTTAGCTTATCAATGAAGTATTATATATCATGCAACATCCTACTTGTATAAAATCACCGATGAGTTTATTTCATTCTACTGGATACGACTCGATGTGATCATGAAGACCCATATCGGAAGGGAACGATTATGGGCCACGGACTCCGATCATCGACTCTGAGGAAGATGAAGACGTCGAAACGATAGCTAGTTAAATCGCTCTATCAAGCTCGTCCTAGCTTATTAAGGAAAGGATGCATAATGATTAGTCATGCTGAAGTTAAAGGAAAGGTTTTTGAAATACAGTCACAAAATGAACTAATTGGTAACTAAATTTCATTGAACGAAAAATTTTCCTTCCAAATTATGTGTTATGCTAGCAAGTTTCTGCAAAGATGCAGACCATACTTTGGCTTTGTCTTTAAGGTGAAGTCCGATTTTTGTCTCGGTGGGACCAATTCGGCTAGCGTAGTCACAAGTGGTGATGCTGTTACTTTGGTTGCAAGAAGTTGGCCACTTTTCATTCCAGAGCTTTCAGTAGCAGAGTGGTTAGTGATGCATTTAATCAGAAAGTAAGATGCAGTTTCGACTCCCTCCCCAATGCTCCTCTCCGTTCTACTAGGGGACGCCTTTGCTTGGCTATCTCCAAGATTGCAAAGGATAATGAGTATCGGCTCGACCAACACTCCACGACATCCATAAAGAAGACGAAATCCTCAAACAGTAGATGACGGAATACACGAATTTTTCAAAGACGTTCGTATAGGATAGGTGCGAAGAAAACGAATCGAATGGAGGAAGTGCTGGGATCCGCACAGCAGGTATGATGACAGACAAATGATGGTGCAAATAACAGTGATGTAAATAATAACACAAAAAATATTTGCTTACTTGGTACTTGAACGGCCCATCCTCACTGGTTGTGTTGACCTCAGCATACTCTTCATTGTTAGAAGTTTTACTGGCTCAACCATGGTGTATCCCTGGTGTCCCGAGCTCAGCCTGACTAAAACCTGCTCCAATACGATAAGTACATGCTTTATTAGGTTATGACGATGTTGCCTCGAACTTAAGGAAATGTTCATATCAATTACAAAATGGCAGTATAGTTCCAATGTTAACTTTTTAATTACTGCCTACTATAATTTTTCATGGCAGTGTATTACGTGTGAAACAACACAATGATGCTGAGATATTTGCGGAACTCCGGAACGCAAGTGTTTGCGGTGGTAAACGAATGCTCTATTACCCTTTCCGGGGGCGAACTAGTCACGAATGGTGCGGTGGTGGGTGAAGTCGTTAGCCCCGGAAAGGGTAAAAGCGCGTTCGTTTCCCACAGCAAACACTTGCGGTCCGGAGTTCTGCAAATGTCTCAGTAGCATTATGTTTTCAGCAGAGTATTATAATGCATGAGGTTTGGTAATCGAAACAAGATTTCGCCTGTTTATTTATATCTTATTTAAGAGTCATTCTAGACAATGTTGAAGCCACGTCGTCCATGTACAGTATGCGGCAAGTGGACAACAACGCTGTACATGCACATGATTTACTCTCATGACTGGACAGATAAACAAGTGAACGAGCTGAAGAAGACGATTAGAAATGAACGCCGTAAGACGATTAGAAAAGAATTCCTGGAACAGAACAGCACCGAAGGTTGCCATAGAGACGAATCTGGGTTAGTATTTGTAGATTTCTGTCTCATTTCTCGCATCATTTTGGCTCTGATTGTGTTCGTTGTGGTAGTACAGCTATTTTAGTGAATATTTTCTTTGCTGGAATATGCGAGGAAATCATGACGTCTTTAATGGATTTATGGGAAATGGTCACGGATCTCCCTCATATGAGGGATCTCGAGCTGGTTAGTCGCGAGGTTACGTGGCGCGTCCCCAGATGGCGGGTAGGGGATTAATCGCGGACCAAAAGCGACCTTTGCTTCCTTGAGACGCAGGTGGATCCAGGGGATGGACTCCCTGTTTCTGCCGCGCTGATTTGGCACATACTTTCGGGATTTCTAGGCGTATTCATTCATGCGTGTGTGGGTGCGTTCTTGCTTATGCGGATTGTATTCTACGAGTCAATTCGGCCAAAACCCTTCAATTAAGTGACTGGGAAATATAGCGAGGCGGTTAGGAGTCGCCTTCAACAAATAATGTCGATGTCCACTCTGGGAGAGCCTGATAGGCTACCCGTGAGTATACATAGCTCCCACGTTCAGAGCCGAGCAAGCTATACATGGGCATCAAAAATGCTAAACACAAAAAAAACAGGCCTCATTCCCCTGACCCCGAAAGAGTCCCCAATTTCGCAGCGTTGGGTAGGACGAGTACGGAGAGGCTGCTAAGATTTCAAGGTCAATGGAAGCTGCCTGGATTTCAAAGAACTATGGTAACTATATGTACCTACAATGAACGTACACTTGCATTCGAGTCCTTAATAGACTTGCTTATGCAAGCAAGAGGGATAGGGTACGATGTCATCGGCCTGGCTGAGGCGAGAAGACTCCAGCCTTTCAACGCCGTCTATGACACCGGAGAAGAACTGTTCCTCGGAACATGCGACAGTAGAGGAGTCGGCGGCGTCGGTGCTCTCGTCAACACGAATTTGTCCATGAAAATCGCTTCATTTGAACAACTTACACCCGAATCGGACGTTTACCTTTAAGAGGACGTGGACCACTTGCGGCTTTGGCAATCTTCGAACTAAGGTCTGAACTTACAAAACAATGTAGACAGGCGACAAAAGAAGATTTAGAGAGGGAAGAGTAGCAGTAATGGTCGAATCTGCAGAGGTTGGGAAAAGCATTCGCAAAGCCCACCGAAGCTTCTCCAATTACAAGACCAAAATGATTGCACTCCGGCGCCCAGACGGAACAGTTACAGCGTCCAGAAAGGCAATGGAGAAAATCATTCACGAATACTACTCAGATCTCTTCGATAGCCACGTCCAACTTCCATCATATGAAATAGAGGAGGATGGATATGTTGTACCACCGGTTCTCCCTTCCCAATTGCGACATGCCTTTTCCTCGGTGAAAAATCGAACAGCACCAGGTCCGGACGGGATAAGATCTGAATATTTGAAGAACCTTCGGCCAGTCCTCGTAAACACATTGGCTCGGTTGTTCACACGTTACCTGTCTGAATGCAAAGTCCCTACTCAGTGGAAGATCAGCAAGACCATGCCATTGTTCAAGAAGGGTGGCCTCCACGATATCGGCAACTATCGCCTTATCTGCTTGCTTTCTGTCGTCTACAAACTATTCACTCGAGTCATCCTAAACAGGATTAGCAGAGCACTATATGAGACAGACATGTGAGCAAGCAGGGTTTCGAAAAGGATTTAGTACGATGGACCACATCTACACGGTAACAGGACTCATTGAAGTATCGCGAGAGTACAAAAGACTGTTCTGTTTCACTTCAATCGATTTACAGAAGGCGTTTGATTCAGTTGAGATAGAAGCAGTCATGGAAGCCCTTGACCGTCAAGGAGTCCCTACTCGGTACATAAAGATTCTTCGTGAGCTATACAAAAATTTCACAACCAGGATATCACCATTTTACAACGATGTTAACATTGTCGTCAAAAGAGGAGTTAAGCAAGGCGATACCATCTCGCCAAAATTATTTACCGCCACCCTCTAGAACGTCATGCGAACATTGGAATGGGTTAATATGGGAGTGAAAATCGACGATCGGCAGTCACACCATCTTCGCTTTGCTGTTGACGTCGCCTTTATAATGCCAGGCATTAAACAAGCGGAACGTATGCTTGACGACTTTGATAAAGCCTGTAGAAAGATTGGTCATCGACTAAATCTCACAAAAACGATGTTCATGAAGAACGGATTGGTTTCGCATGCCCCATTGACGTTCAACGGAACGAATATCTCCGAATGCTTCAGTTATATCTATCTAGGTAGGGAAATCAATATGATGAACGACTTAGCTCCAGAGCTGAGCAGAAGAAAACGAGCGGTTTGGGGAGCTTTCAAGACCATCGAGGATGTAGTGAAGAGAACAAAGAACACCCGACTCCGTACCCACGTTTTCGACTCAACGGTACTTCCTGCCTTAACGTATGTATCAGAAACCTGGTCGCTGCGTAAGCAGGATGAAAGGTCACTCAGCGTTATCGAACGCGCGGTCGAAAGGACAATGCTAGGAGTATCTCGTTCCACACAAGTAAGGGATGCGATCCGAAGCTCTGATCTTCATCAACGATCAAAAATCAAAGATGCCATTCTGTACGCCAAACACTCAAAGATAAGGTGGGCTGGACACGTAATGCGTATGAATGACAACCGATGGACAAGAGCCGTTAATAACTGGATTCCTCAGGATGTTAAACGCACAGCAGGAAGACCACCGACTCGATGGTCAGAGTTCTTCACAAAGAGTCTTGAAGAAAAATATGATGCCCGACGAGTCCCTAGAGCGAGCAGGACCCACTGGGCTGCTCTTGCACGCGACAGTGAAAAATGGAAGATTTACTGGCGCCCGCTCGAGTCACTCGACGATAAACGGGACTACAGGTGATACAGGTGACAGGTGATTGGAAATGAATGTCTGCAGGCAGTTGTTTACCTGAGCTACAAAAGCAGATGTCAAAATCAGATTTTACAAGGTAGATGATTTACTATAGTCACAACGCCACTAGTTCCTTGAGTTGCAATGGCTTGCATTTTCCCAAATTGTTAAATTAGTTATCCCTTAGCCACTGGAGTAGAATCTTCGTTGTAGGGAATAACATGATGGCAAATCTTGGACTGTAGGGTACTCAATATTACCGTATCCACATCCATAGATTTAGTGAATTATGATTGGACTTAGTTTAGAATTACACTGGAATGTTGTGTAATTAATCAACGTTGTAAACTTTACCATAACCGAATTTCTATAAACCCCGCCATTGATTGATAATTCGATGTTTTTTCAATAAGCAGACGCGAGATTGGTATTATAGAATCTATTACAATACAATAGCTGTTTCGACGGTTTCGCCTTCTTCAGGGCCCGGAAAGGTCAAATTGTGATGCGATCTACTCAGCCAAACACTTTCGTAACCCCAGAAGATAAAACTTAACAAATAAATTTGTATTCGCATAAGAAACGGCTTTATATAAACACCTACCGTTTATTTGTTGTAAGTATTTATGTTAGTTGGTGGATAGCAGCCGCACAGAGTAATACATGGGCGATAACTGTGTCTGCGTCAGACCATTGGATTAGCCTGAGCTATAGTGCCAGGTCGCGCGTGATGACAAGACACTCCTCCTTGCGGTTTATTTTTGAATTTTTGGAATTGGTCCAAAACGCTTCAAGAGTTTTATGCTGATGTTTTCGATTCGTGCGTGAGGATAGTGACTCCTACTTCAAAATCTGCTCCGTTGTGTTCCTGCATCCTATGCGCGCTTAGTGGAGTGTTTTGGTGTAATTTAGATTTACCTACTAGGTGTTCTTTTATGCGGACGCAGAACGGTCTGCCCGTTTCGCCAATCTATTCGTCACCACAAGCTTTGCAAGCGATCAGATAGACTGTATCTGAATTCATGCAATCACCATCTCTACCGCTAGGGCAAGTTATGCAGTTTCTGCAGCCATACCTCAGGCTAATCCAATGGCCTGACACAGACACAGTCCGCGCCCATGTTTTACTCTGTGCGGCTGCTATCCACCAACTAACATAAATACTTACAACAAATAAACGGTAGGTGTTTAAATGAAGCTATTTCTTATGCAAAAGCAAATTTATTTGCTAAGTTTTATCTCCTGGCGTTATGAAAGTGTTTGGCTGAGTATATCGCATCTCAATTTGACCTTTCCAGACTCTGAAGAAGGCGAAACCGCCGAAACGTCAGCTGTTGTAAGCTTTATTCTTTGATCTCTAAATTTGCAGTGAATTATCCTTATTCGTTAGCTTAGTTTATACAATTACATTTCGATTCATCTGTAAGCGAAATTGAATAATTTTTACTTCAGGCACACTTCTTCTGCCTCCCTCTGTACTCATTTGGCGAGATTTCAAGGCTCAAGTGAGCAGAGAATAGCCAGGTTTAGTCCATCGAAGATTGCAAAGGACAAGGAGTTCATATGGTTTCTGGAAGGAGGTCGGCCAGTCAATACCAGACAACTCCCGCCCCGTCCACTATATATGCCTGCCCTACCAGACCAACTAAGCGAATCGGCGAAAGGATCCGTAATCTGTCCTGTACCACGCTGTACAGGAAGGTTCACAAATCACGACAGTTTATGCTATCATTGCATGCTGGAACACGCTGAACTTGGAGCTGCTGGCACGCCTCAGAACTTTGCTATAAGACAGTATCGATTCGACACCATAGAAGAATATAAGGTTTGTACGGTCTAATTTTAACGGTACAGATCGACAAATCGGTTTTAGTTGAAGATACAGTTGGCTAGTAGAGTTGATGGGTTGAGTAATGAGGATGCTTTAAGTTTACTCATTCTTAATGGAAGTCGAAGTTGCAAGGGTTTCCACATATTTCTATAGATGTCCACACAGTCAGTGAAAGAGTATCTCGTTATTTTTCAAATCCACCCTAACCGTTGTTCTCCTCTATAATCCTGCTGTAACAAATACTGTTTATCCAACACATATCCAACGCTCTCTAGTTGAGTTATTACTATTATCTATCAAGATCCACAATTGCATAGTTGTATCACCATGTTTAAGGACATGGTCACTGGTCAGAGGCACCCTTAAAAACACATGGGATCGTCCCCTGCTCCCCAGGCTCACGAAGCCCTCCATCCCTCCAGGGTCGGCAAATTGGTACCAGACTTGTCTGCAAGGATAGCAGCACTGACTCGATACATCGGTAGACCACCGGAAGTCATTGTAAAAGCCAGATGTCGATTTAACACCTTCAACGATGCTTAATGAAGTCCAATGTATGGCACATCCCTCGGTGATTGATCAACGCCATCCCTTTATCCTTTATCCTTTTATTTCCTCGTTTGTTATTTGCTGGATTGCAAATTAGTATTGTTTACGTACATGGTTTACATACGTTGTCCAATATTTAATGCATAAATAACTCAGTTTACAGCTCAACGTCGTCTTTCCAGTGTGCCAGTATCTTTACACTTTCGAAAAGATTTTTTCAACTCATTTTGTCTTCTGGAACATCTATTAATTGGTTTTATTTTACATAGTGTAACACCACACTTTTTTTTGTTTCCTTACATCCACCATCCACGAATGTCTTTCAATTTTTGTATGGGACATTAGAATTGCAATAACTTTTTCTTAGTTGAAGTCTCCGAGACTTCTAGGGTGAAGTTTGCCGTATTTAAATTTGTGTTGTTACTAGGCCGAAAATCTCAGTACTACCTTCTGATGAAAAGTCTTGCAGGAGTGGCTATATGAACGATGCGAGGAAACTTGTACATCATTTTCAACGAAGACTTCAATGTGTTCCGGTTATGCCATGTATCGATGTAACCGTGCGGGCACGTTCAGGACATCGGGGATCGTACGAATCGGTTCCACGTCAAAAAAGTCCCAATCACACTGTACGGCATTTTTGAGGGTTGGTTCCACATTTGTGATTTTCAGCGTAGCTTGAGTGCCTTATATAAAGTTTGTTCGACAAACGTGGATGTGTCAACTCAGTGGGACTTGTGCTTTTTAAGCGATTAAGTCAGTCCTTATTGAAATGCCTATTTGCGGCATTAGATGTTTTCGTGAAATCCAACTGCTGAATGAAGTGAGCTGTTTCATTTTAGATTTATTTTCCCATCACTTCTTGCATTCTATTTGTTTCCTCGCATCCATAATCCACGAAAATCTTCTAGCTATTAGCGCACTTGTTCGTCTGCTGCTTGAGGATTGTCATCTTCTTTATGAATTTCATCAAATGCTGCTCGAGTCGATTCTCTCTGGAGTTCTGGGATAGCAGGGCTTGAGCGTTCCCTCATCGATTGTGCTGAGTGAGCTGTTCCTAGACAGCTCTTGTACAAATTTCCCGATTCCGCATAGGTGAGAGGCTTGGTGAGTCCGGGCGGGGTGAAACTAACACCATGCTCGTGATGAACGGCATTACTGCTGCTGCGCTGCTTCACCTCGGGACGAACAGTTACGAAAACAAAAATGTTAAAGATCTTGAGGTCGATCGATCTTATTTAGATGAACTGCCTAATTGTTTCCACTCGTAACTTGATTAGTGTGGCAAATTTAGACTTAGCTGTAAGACACTTGTACCGGAAGGCTATGCACAGTTTATGACTTCATAATTTTGACAGCTATACCTAATCTTTAGGGCAGATAGCACAATTCTAGTGATGCCGGTCATCACGAACACGGTGCTGATCCGATCTCACCCCAGGCTCACAAAGCCTTCCGCCTTCCATCCCTCCAGGTTAGGAAATTGATACTGGACCTTTCTAGACAAAAGTGGCTCTCTGCAAACCACTGGAGAACACTCGAGCCCGGCTATTTCAGGATTCAAAGAAAAGTCACTCGATCAGAATTCTACAACATTCAAGATGAAGTGGAAATCGTCAAGCAGCAACCGATACCGCGCATAAAAGTTAGAAGACCTTCATGGATGGTGGATGCGAGCAAACGAATTGAACATGAGAAATGCTGGAATCCGCACAGTACACTTGAAGATGGGTTGCATAGAATGAAATAAAAGTAAAGAATGAATACCTAATGTCCATAGATCTCTCCCGCTGAAAAATCTCATGCCGATTAGTCACGAGGTATACGGAGCTGTTGGGCAGGACGAGTACGGAGAGGCTGCTAAAATCTCAGAGCCATTCTAAGCTGCCTAAATCTGAAAGGACTAAGGTGACGATCTGGAGTTTCAATGCATGCACACTTGAATCTGGGTCCTCGATAAAAGACATGATCATGCAAGCAAGAAGGACAAGGCACGACGTCATCGAATTGGCTGGGAGAAGAAGAGGCCACTTATTCGACGCCGTCCGTAACACCGAAAAAGAACTGTTGCAGGGAAAATGCGATAGTGGAGGAGTGGACGGCGTCGACGTTCTCGTCAACACGGGTTTGGCCATCAAACTAATTCATTCGAGTAACCAACAACCTTATTCGGACGTTTACTGTTAAAGAGATGTGGATCAGTAGTGGAGATCCTAGTCGTTTACGCGCCGACATCAAACTATGACGAAGACGAAGTCGAAGCGTTCCATATGAACTTGATAACTTTTACAGAGAAGGTCGTACATTCTTTAAGGTCATCACTGCTGATTCTAATGCTAATAAGATTTGACCTAGAATAACGTCTGAAGGCGATTGTTGGAGTTTGTTATGCCAATTAAGACCGTTCATATTAACTCACAATCCAGTGGTTCCGCTCTCATAGCTAAAATTGGAAGTCTTATAGTAGACAATACTATGACGAAAGAGACCGAGTCATAGTGAATCGAAGGTTTTTCCTAACCGTTCTCGCCGTTGTCCTAAATTCTGTACGGAGTCAGACTCATCGTGTAAGACGTCATTTTTAGCGGAAAGGAGAAAAAGCGGCTAAGTTCAAAGCATGAAGTACCAAAACTACTGGTGGGATAGAGAAGGCTCGGTGAGTCTGGGGCACGGGAATTGGTCATCATATGTATAACAGGATGTATCCAACCGCTGCGCTACATTCACCTCTTTAAACAAAAAAGTATCTCTATAAAGTAATTTTCTTCGTATTTTTGTTGAGCAAACGCGAGGTGTTATTATTCTTTGTTCACGATTAAGCTGACGTTTCGG